GCGAGTAGGAGGGAGCACGCAGCCATAGCCAAGCTGCGCTGCTGTATGCTAGGTGAAGTGCAGGGTGGTCCTTGGGGTGCTAGTGGCATCTGTGCGGTGTGGATCGGGGTTGTGAGTGTTACGAGAGACATACCTGGTGCTGAAGCGTGTGACATTGGTCGCCATATGCTCGTACTTCGGGAACGCTGTCGATGTCATCATTCTGCTTCGTAGTATAGGCTAGATAGGATCTGCCACCTGTAGTCTGGGCGCCGAGCGCCAATAGGATATCAACTCTGGTTCGTAGTTGATGATGATGGGACTACTTCAGCATTGTCAATTTTGAACTCTTAGTGTGTTCTTACTTGGTGTATCTTGTGATGCCAGTCTGGTGTGGCTCGAGGTCAAGACTATCTGGGCTCATATGTATGATGCGGTTTGATTGCTGAAGTTCGCTAATGCTCATCTTCCTTGCATCTGCGTAACCAAAAAAAAAAAACTCATTTCATTTTATTTTTTTTAATTGTCTTTATGTTTTTTATTTCTTAAAAATATAGTAAAAGCTTAAAACATAAAAATAAAAATATGAGGTTGTAGAGCTAAGAAACATCTACAACCCTGTATTTTGTTTATTTTTTTTATTTATTTTTAGCCTGCGAAGAAAATCATCGCGGGTCCTGTTGTAACCCATCTAACGGGCTTTTCAACGGGGATTCAACGCGGATTCAACGCGCGTTGAATCTTTCAACGCGGAACCCGTGTTGAATCGATTTTCGGACACACAGCTCATCCAACAGTTGTTTGAGAGCATCCAAAGCATTCAGATCGTTCTTGTAGATAGCAAATAAGTCATCGGCTAACACCTTGACTTTGCACTCACCTTTCCTTAAGGTCATTCCCACGATTTCTGGTCGATGTCTGATATTTGAAGTGATTACTTCAAGTTGAAGTACAAAAGCAGAGGTGCCAACGGGTAACTCTGTCTCAGTGATCTCGAAAGACGGAAGGAATCAGACAGGAACCCATTAACCAGGACTGTTGCCCTTTCATGAGTATACAACACTACCACCCATTTACAAAAATTCACCTCAAACCCCATGCAGCGCAGAGTGGTCAAAACAAAACTCCAGTTTACTTTATCATATGCCTTATCTAAGTCCAAGAATAGGACTGAGAGCAACTCATCCTCTTTTTCCACTATCTCTAGCGCTTCTATCGTCGTAATGATGTTATTAAAAATTGAGCGCCCTTGCACAAAAGCAGCTTGGTCACTCCCTACCAACACCAGCAGGTATTTAGCTAGCCTTCTAGCAAGCGTCTTGGGCAAAATCTTGTAAGATACATTAAGCCTGGAGATAGGTCGCCAATTCCTAATCTCATCCATCTCACCTTTCTTATACATTAACGTAATCACCCCGTGGCACACGCTTGGAGACAGACTTTCACCAGTAAGAACATCGTTATACATATTCAACAACGGCCAGAACATTTCGTAGAACTCCACTGTCCTCCCGTCAGAACCTGGAGCTTTACCTTTTGTCATAGCTTTGATTGCTTGGCCAACCTCTTCGTCTGTAACTGGTCTGTCAAGGTCCAACCGACCTACCTGAGGTAATCTGACATTTACCACTTCCCACAGGTCTGTTAAGTGTGCTTGACCTGTGGTCAATTCAGAGGCACAGCGGCGCGAGGTTAAAATATTGTGAAAGCAGAGTTCTGCATATGTACACATCTCCCATGATGACTTGGCCATCAGCACCTGCTTGTTAAACGGGTGTTGTAAAACTTTCATTTCCTTGTGATGAAAGTGTGAGAGAAGTCATTGAAAGGTTGTTTTTAGCATCCTATCACCAGTCTTACCTTTTACTGTTAAAATCTCCTTCCACCTTTCCAATTTGGTTGCCTAGAGATTATCCCACCGCTGTAATATGAGACCTCTCTCCTTGCTCCACCAATGAACCTTTATCGATCTAGGCGAAAACAAATTTATCATGGCTTCGGCATCCTCAACCGCCTTTTGTAGTGCAGACTCCTCTTTATTATCTTGAAGTGCTGAAACTCGCAAGAACACACTAAGCATATATGAAATAAAGTAAATAAAGGCTTCCCACCATTCCTTCCGTGATGCAAAAGATTATATTTTACGTATCCATGCGTTCGATTGGTCCGACACCCAATGCTTCACGCCCCGGTCCCTGATTACCACGTCGTTTAGTCTGAAGATACCCTTTCCTTTCTCCAATCCTTCACCCAATAGAAACTGCAAAACCACTGGGTTATGGTCGGAGAAGGGACCGGGCAACATTGATACGTCCAATGTATTTCACCACATTAACTCATTAATTAGGAAGTAATCTACTCGACGAGGACTAACTCGGCGATCCGACTCTCTCTGAGATGAATACCACGTGTATCCCGGATTAGTAGGGTTAGACATTCTATATGGGTTTGAGAGATTCAGTATAGACATGATCTCCAAGACAACATCCAGATCTTTCCCAACCCTTCCAGCGTTGAACAACGGGTTTGCATCATCCAACGCAACATTCCAATCGCCTGCAATAATAATATTCTCAACACCAGGTAAAAAATTCATCAAACTTTCAAAGAACTCCACTCTCTCCGCCCTTTCCGCGGGTGCATACACTGTTACTATTGCCCATTTTTCCCCTTCTGACGTGAACGTAATCCAAGCCCACCTTCCTAATTGATCGAAGTCATATCCTCTATTGTCGCATCCAGATTGCGATGAACCAGGATTGCAACTCCACCTCTAGATTATGTGGCTGAGGCCCAAATTTGGGTACCATCCCACCACCTATATTGCACGCCCGGTCACGGTCGGGGGCAAAAACTCAGCTGCGGCCACGGCCGACGGCCGAATCGGCCAGGTTCGGCCACAGCCGAACGGCCGAGTTTGGTGCAAGATTTTATTTTTTTTAACGCATGAAAAAATATATATATATGGGCATATAGGACTCAAAAAACCCTACACGCCCATATTTTTTTTCGGGGCATTGCTATTTTCTATTGTGTAAAAAAAAATAAAAATAAATGAAAACAAATGAAAAAAAAAAACTGCTTCGAAACCCCGCGCAAGTATGTGTGTGTGTGTGTGTATGTGTGTGTGTGTGTGTGTGTGTGTGTGTGTGATCGGGTGGGGGGGGCGACCCCTCCCCACTAATCAATCAATCAAAAAAAATAAAAAAGAGAGA